AGATCTTTCCTGAACCCTTCCAGTTTTTGGATGGCTTTTCTGAACAGCAAGTTATTTTAATAACAACGTACTGGTGCCAAGTGCAGAGATAATGTCACCTCTCTCCTCCTACTCAGTATTTCCACATGCATGTGCTTTGCAAAGGCTGCATTAGTCTTTTCAGCATCAGCAGCACACCATGAGCTCATGCTCAGCTGATTATGAAATCCTCTATTCCCCCTCCAAGTCTTTGTGAGTCACGGACTCGCAAGATAAAATCTCCGATCCAGTTTGGTTTCCAATTTATGGTCTGTATGATATTCACAACGCTAAAGACATGCTTTGTGACAAGATTAAACACCAAATTTTGCGAGGGCCAGAAGTAATGAAATCCCCTTTCCTGAGTCTCTGCCTTGCAACGATGTTCTGGTGTCTGAAGGAGGGCAAAGCACTGAGCCTTTCTATCACAGAGAGGTCAAGGCAGTTGCCTCAATGCTCAAACCCTGCCTGGTTGAGCATTTTAACAAAACAGGTTGGGATGATGTGATGAGACCTCTGTCTCTCTGTCAAGCTTGAAGTAAGGCAAAAGTGCTGGAAGTAGATGGAGAAAGGGCAAAGGGAAGGCAGACATGCAATGAGGCCATGTAAGCCCTGTTTTTCTGGGAGACGAGACCAATTATCATAGATGTTTTTGCGGTAAAAGAATAAAAAAAAAAAGTTTTGGCCAAAGTTGTTCCTCATTGGCTTTATGGTGGAACAGAGCAGCTGAAATGGGGTCATGGGCCATGGGCAGGGTGGGGGAGGTACCACAGTAGGCAAGTCAAGGCCAGTAAGGGCTGTGGGTGCCCTCAGGTGTACAGTTGGGCAGGGGTGGGTATACCCGAAATGGCAGCAAAGAAATGGGGACACTGGCTGGGGCTCCTTGATTTCCTCACTGTTCTGATAATAGTGCAACGAAATGTTGCCCTGTACTGCTGGACCACAAGCATTTTTCTGATGTTCTGAAGGCAGCGTGGTAGGAGTCACACATAGCACCCTGCGTTGGGGAGTTCCCTTCCTCTGAGCCCTCAATTTGGGTTCCCACCTGCCACTGTGCCCCTGTGTTCCACTGAGCTTGAGGAAACGGGCCTTTGATGGGCTGATGGCTCCTGGAAGCTGGCAGGGCAGGGCATTTTTGGGGCTCCCCTTCCTGCTGTTGTCTCTCTGTGCTCCTTTGTGGGTGTGCAGATGAGCTTTTATCCCATATCACTGAACACCTGGGGCTTGCTGTGCCTCTGCAGCCTGCCATCAACTCTGCCTCCTTCTCCCAACAGCCCCAGCAGTGAGGTGATGCTCACGGTACCCCCACACTGCTGCGAGCCCTCCTCACATCACAGCATAACCCAGACAGCCTCCGGCAGTCAACAAAGCATGACCCAACCACCCACACGTACCCTTGCCCTGTCCTCTCTACCTCTTCTGTTTTTCCTCCATCTTCCTCTTCTTGGACAGAAGCACCTTCAATTCTCCAGCAGCATCCTGATGCTGCAAATTCATTGCCCGGAGAGGTCTCATTGCCAACACAACAGCTCTCACCATCCTGCAACAAACCCTCTAAACAAAAGCCTGCATCAAAACTACATGGAGTGTAGTAACAGCTGGAGAATTCAAATAAGTGCAATAACAACTTTTTTTTATTAAAGACACAACAAAAAGCATGCTTTTTTATTTTATTTTTCTTCAAGACTCCTTCCTCCTTCAGTCTCTCCTGCTTGCCACCGCTATCCAGAAAATGGGAACAAGGAAAAGTCAAAGGAGGAATAAAAAATCCTGTAGCAAATCTAAAATATCGCACTGCAGACTCTCCCCATAAAGACTCTGAACGTGGGAGGCAGCCTTGCAGGGACTAACCAAAGCGGATGGGTTGACCTCAGCCAGCAGCTGAACACCCACACAGCCACTCGCTCACTCCCCCTGCAGTGGGATGGGGGAGAGAACAGGGAGAAAAAAAGTGAGAATGTTTGTAGATCCAGATAAAGACAGTTTAGCAAATGGAAGAAAGCAAAAAAAAAAAACCAACCCCAAAACCTAAATCAAACAACAAAATCCAAAAACCCCCAAGCAATGCAAAGACCACCACTCATCACCTCCCACCAGCAGACCCATGCCCAGATAGTCTCCCAGCAACGACCACCTTGGAAGACAAAACCCCCACCGCTCTTCCTCCTCTGCCCCAGGTTTTATTGCTAAAGTTGATGTTGCAAGTCACGGAATATGCTTTGGTCCTTTGACATACACACAGACATCATTCTCTTAGCCTGTGGGACATCCCACTTCCACAGAAAATCAATCAGTCCATGACTTGTGCTCCACACAGAAGCACAACACAACAGGATCCTCTGGTAAACAAGGCATATTGCCTTTCACTTTCTGCTAACTTGTTATACTCTTGGGCCTGAGCCACCTTCTCAGGTGATGCTCCGAAGTCTCTGCCTCCTGGCCAAACCATGATCTCTTCCAGGATCCACAGGCAGTTGGGGTTTCCCATGCATGATCAATGCTACCCACTTCATGTAGTGTCAGGTGTATAAGGTGTAGAATAGGCCCCTCCTATGAACATCTCGTGCAGCACAGGCACCTTGGGCCTTTGATACTCAAAGCTCCAGAATCCTAGAACACCTTGGGTCTCTCCAGGTGTTTTCTACCAGAGGTTCCAAGTAAGGCCATGTTCCCCAACTACAGCATACTTCTCACAGCTGGTCCTGTCTGGCTGGGCCCAAGGACTATCTCACAAACTACCTCCTGACTGTTTTGCTGCTGTTTAGGGCCTAATTTGAAATAGTTCTTCTTTTGGGTAACTTGATAGAGAGGACTCATGAGCTGACTGTGATCCAGAATGTGTAGTCTCCAGAAACCCACTATACCTAGGAAAGCTTGCATTTCTTTTAGTGGGTGGAAACTTGGCTATTTTACTGACACATCCATGGGGATGTCACGATGCTGGTCTTGTCATTACAAGGTTGGAAATACGTATTCTGGAGGAGAGGAGGAGGAAGGTCTCCTCGAGATGGTTCCCGGAGTACCGTGATGGCAGCAATGCAGGGGCCAAATGCCAGACTTGGCTCCAGGCCCGTGCTTTTATCATAGGTCTCCCAGGCAAAGCCAAACACAGCGATAAGCAGCACAGCAAACACCAAAAGCTGAAAGCAGCCATTAAGAAGCTCTGGAGTTTAATGTGTGGCTAGAAAGGGGGCAAATAAATCAGCACGTAGCAGCTGGAATAGCTATAAACCCAGCCTGGCACACCCTGACTGGCTCTGTCATTGTCTGAGACCCCAATGCCGGGTGCCAGAGGGATGGTCTCGCTCCCCCAGCGAGGCGGGGAGAAACTGGGAAAAGCAAAAGCCACCAAAATCGGTGGCTGGAGACACGGCTGGTTGTGTGGGGAAAGTGTGAGGTAAACACGGGCCGCGGGGAGGCCGTTGCTCGGCGCCCACTGACAGGGGGGCTGCCCGGCCACCTCAGCGGCCTCCTCAGGGGCGGCCACCCCCGTCCCTCTCCCCCTTGATGAGGGACGTCCCTGTTGATGGCTGAGGCGCTGTATGACGGCAGGAGGGAGAGCCGTGACGCTGCGACACCACCGGGCGGGGCGACCGGCGCTTGTCAATCAACCCCCGGCGCTGTCAATCAACCCCCGGCGCTGTCAGTCACCGCGTGCACGCGCGCCGCCGCCGCTCTTTGTCTCCCTCTCCTCCTCCCTCCCTCCCTCCGCCCCTCGTCACGCGGCGGCGGCTCCGCAGTCACGTGGCGGGGGCGGTGGCAATGGCGGCGCCGGGCCGCGCCTCGAGTGCGCGTCGCGGGGTGGTGACGCGGCGGCGGGGCGCGGGGAGGATGGGGCTGTGAGG